AAAAGGTAGTCTCAGCGCTCTTCCTCGACGTCAAATTGGCCTATCCATCAGTTCACAGGGAACGCCTCCTGCACATCCTACGCCAGAACAACTGTCCCCCATACATGACTCAAATAATCAAGGGATTCCTATCTGATAGATCCACCAATCTGCGTATACAAGATTATTTATCTGAGGCATTCACCATCGAAAATGGCCTACCACAGGGCTCGCCTCTTTCGGTCATTCTATACATCATCTATAACTCAGAGATACTAGGTAAAGAAACACCAAACCCCGAATCCACACAACTATCAATAGGTTTCATAGATGATATTGTTCATTTAGTAGCTTCACAGTCAATTGAAGAAAACATTACCAAACTGAAAACACAAGCTGACAAATCTCTTGATTGGGCTAACAAACACGGAGCCATCTTTGATAAAAAGAAGGCCCAGCTCATCCACTTCTCAAACAGATGAAAACAGGATCCCCTCCCTTTCCAATTCGGCAACATATGGCTTAACCCAAAGAGCAAAGTCAAATGGCTAGGCCTCTGGCTAGACCCGAAACTATCATACAACAGTCACCTCCACCATGTAAAGAAGAAAGCCGACTTCACGCTTCAACAACTACAAAGACTAAATAAATGTTACTCAGGACTAGCAACCAAAGAAATCAAAAAGCTGATAATGGCGGTACTCATCCCAAGAATTCTTTATGGCAGTATAGTTTGGCTAACCCAAAAGACCCACAAAAAGGCTAACAAAGTTTTAGAAACGATACAAAACAGTGCAAACAGAATAACAATCGGTGCTTTCAAAGGCACATCAACAGAAATGATCAATCACGACACCTATATGTTACCTTTCTCATGGATAGCTTACCAAAGACACCACAACTTCCTCCTGAAGCGTCTCTCAGCACCAACGTCACATCCAACCAAAATCTTCATAAACCACGAATTATCCCATGCTCCCAAAACTCACCCGGGCCCTATCCAAGATGTTGTGAAATTAAATGATTTTAAAAAACTGGCAGCGGAAAAGATTGAAACCATATATGCTCATCCCATCGCCCCGTGGGTCGATAACGTAGGTACACTGACAAATTTTGAATTGAACAAAGAAGAGGCAGCAAAAGTTATTCCACAACAAGTCGAAGACGAGGAGAAAAACAAGAATGCGCTGGTAATATTCACGGATGGCTCAGTGACCTCAGAAGTAGGTGGCGCAGCAGCAGTCTCCAAAGTATTCAGCCAAGCCCAATCAGTAAATTATGCTGAAAATTTTTCAAACTACGAGACAGAACTCCTAGGACTACTGCTGGCGGCAGAACTGGCAAAGGACCTAACTAGCTGACAACAACCAACACCCTCTGGAGTAGCGATTTTTTGCGATAACCGATCCGCCCTAAGTCTCATCCACAAAATCCCTAAACAAGCATCGGGACAGCACCTCCAAATCAAAATACGCTCAATTTTAAAACAACTACCAATAGGAAATGAAATCCGGTTTTACTGGACCCCGGGCCACAAAGGAGTGGAACTGAACAAATTAGCTGACCAAGTAGCTGGAGAAGCAGCTAGCACACTAACCACTCCAATTGATCTCCCCACTAGTCTAGGTAGCCTAAAACGCCGCACTAAAGAAATGTTCAATATCAGAAATTTCCCATTTAAACCGGGCAAGAACACATTCACCACAAAACCCAAGAAGATCGCAAAAGGCCTAGCAGAATTGGAGAAGGGAAGCACAGCTGCCATCTTTCAACTCAGAGCTGGTTTCAGCCCTTTGAACAGCCACTTATTCAAAAGGAACCCATCGGACTCCCCCCTTTGTGAAAAGTGCGGAATAACAGAGAATACTCACCACTTTATTCTGTTTTGTAGACACTACTCAAAACTCAGGAAACAAATGAGATCGGAGTTGAAAGAAAACAAGATAAAAGTCAATTGGAACAACTCAAAAAGACTGCTGGATACGCCAAAAGCTTTTCCTTACATTGCAAATTTCATTTTAAAAACTAAAAGATTCCCACACTTTCACTCTTATCTACAGGATCAAACCAAAGAAAACAGCCGCAAGACAAAGAAAAACCATACCAAGAAATGAATGTTGTCTCAAAAAAGAAAAATCACACCAATCACAATCTGTTTATAACCCAAAAGGGTCGGAATAATACACATCCGGAACAGTATCAATCTAATTTGTGTCCACTTGTCCAATCCCAAACAAGGGTTCGAATGTAACATCATTCGAGGCAGACAGCACACATGCATAGCTCAACACCAACTTGTGTGGTCAAATTCCAGAATCTCGGTACGGTTTTCATCACTGTTTCTCACGCCCTTAAAAGCACTCTCTTTCTCCCCCGTGACTCCGGTTGACGCTAGGATAGGGGGTTAGAGAGGAGAATCAAATGCCTGCTCAGCTCTGTGGAGTCCCCCAAGAAGTTCGAGACTATATGACTCTGTACTTATGTTGAATTCCTAACGGGCGTGCTTGCACAAAGACGTTTACAGAGGGTCACCGCTTTCCTGCGGGTGTGCTAAATGCACAAAGGTGATTCCAAAACGAAGTTAAATCTTCCCAAAAAGTTAGAAAAACATAGATTTTTTCAAAACTCGAGCAACCTCTTCAAAATTCTAGTCATCAATTTCTTTGTCTTGATAAATGGCCGTCTTTCCCAAGGTTGTAATATCCTATCATATTGTAACAGTTTAGTTAGTGTTTCATGCAAATATGCGCTTATGCACTTTAAAAAAAAAAAAAAAAAAATCCATCCACTCTTTCTGGTGTAGTTCCTGTGATCCGACTCGGTACCGAGTCTCTACAGCAGCTCACATCACGGTCTCTTTGACGCATTCAGTTTCGCCCCCAGGCTTTGTAGACAGGTGCACTCGTACCTCTGCTTCTCTTTGTCTTCTGATGATTCGGTCGTTCGGTACAAATAATTTCAAACTTGCCGTCTTGGATTCCTACCTACACCTCGTTTCTGGAGCATTCATATTGAAGACGGGACTGTTGAGCGTGTTTACGTGTTGTCCAGATGTCGTTTTCCTGCAAGTGTGCTTTAAGGCTACGCAGATGATGCCTCCGTATAGTCATGGCGCCTGTTGTAAGGTTCAAATAGAACCTTCACTGGATACTTCGAGACGGGATACTGTGAGGCACAGTAAGAGGTTTTCTAGAACCCAAGGAGATCTGATTTGTATTACTAAACCTATAGGAACACTGGTTCCAAAGGATAGAGGGCGAATATCAGTCCCGATATCTCTGTCTGGATAAGAACACTACAACAACTTAGAAAGAAAAGAAATATATATATGAAATGAAACTATACCTGGTTCCAAAGGATAGAGGGCGAATATCAGTCCCGATATCTCTAAGGAACCATCGGTAGAAATGAAACAACAATAAGTAAATATAGTAAATGAAATTAGGTCTTAAGTGTTAATAGTTAAGTGTGCAATTACGTGTCTAAGTAATGACCGTAGGTCTTACACCTGTATTCCGGTTTGACTCTATGCCGTGCAATGGCGATGACTGAGTTAACCTTCAAGTTCACCATTGTACCCAATCACATCAGACTGCCAAAAAAAATTCCGTATTTGTTGACTCGAGAAAAGTTCAAAAAATTGGTTGCTCGCTCTGAGCAATCATTCAGCTTCAAGAATGGAGATCTCCATGCAACTTCAAATTCACTACTAGATCTCTAGCTCCTCCCTTCATGGACTTTTTGAGTCCCCTCGTAGTGCACGTATATTGTCACTGATCACTCAATTTTCACACTGTGACTGTGTGTAGAGTTGCCACGTGAATTCCGAAATCCTACATATCACTTTTGAATGCGATGTGATAAGTTTTATTGCATCCTGAAAAGCGGACTTTCAAAGATCGCTATTGGTATTTCATGGCAAAATTTGGCGAATGTACAAAAAACCACGGCAAATTTTCAAAGGAAGGTATCTATTAACCGCATAAGTCGACATTAAGGGACGAACTTCAAACAGTGGCCTATTGCTGTGTCCTTATAGTTTTGCGGACCACACTCCGAAAATGTTTTTAAACGGTGATTAAGGGATTACTGCCGAAATTTTGAATGGTGCTCACAAAATGAACAAACCAAGGATTGCTTTTCTTATTTGCAAAATCGGGATAATTTCCGGGAAAACCCAGGAAATGATCAATGACAGGCCGTGATGAAAAGTCAAATTACAACTGCGGTCCATGCGAGCCCTCTCATTCTCAATTGAAGAAGGTGAAATGAGTATAGAACTCAGATTGGTACAAAATCTCCAAGCAGTTTATGCGATTCAGTGCTGATGAACTAGCTACAGATCCGCTGAGTAATACGATCCATCGGGATTTCTTTGAATTAAAGTAAGAGCGGGAGCATTCACTCAGGAAGCATGGACTATCATTTCATATTTGGAGCTTGCGGGTGCTTTTGTTCGGAAAATTTGAAGCGCTGATCAAAGAATCTGGAGTCAACAAATAGATATTGCACTGGATCCCGATACCAAATCATGCAAAGAGCATATGTGGTGCTGTTCTGATGAGTCAGCTAGGAATCCACTGAGCAATGCGGTTGAATCGTGCTTCTTCAAGTCCCTTTGCCTTCACAAAGGAGATATAAACAATTTATATGTCTTTATGGCTTGGTCACCACACTCCAAAAATGTCTTCAGGCGTTGATAAAAGTCTCGCTGCTAAATTTCCCTCACGCAGGAAAATGTGCTATCATTTAATCAGCTTCCTAGTACTTGCATTACAAAAATGATTTCAAGGGCTGATCAAAGGATCAGCAGTGAAGCATTGGATGATTCTCAGCTCAGCTCAGCTTTACTCCAGGGTATAAGTAGCGATGTATTTTGAGTCGGAAAAGGAACTCCTGCTTCATACAATCCCTTCCCCTCCAATTTATTTCACGCCAGTATCCAAAATCACAGCACAACTGATCTGATCCTCTGAATACCACCCATCCTCGTCATTTAATCTTGATATATCTTTTACACAATGCCGGGAAAACAACCTGAACTTATGGATCTTCCGGTGAAGCAAGTGTTCTCTGGAGACTTTGTGGAGGATCATGTGGTGAGAATATTTCTTCATTTTCGCTTGTCTCTCATTTATCCTCATCAATCCCAGATTCCTAATCTTGTCTTTTGTTCTTTCGTAGAGCTATGCCTCAGGCCTCAAGCGCCGGGCAAAGGAGTTGAAAGAAAATCAAAACCCTGCATTCTGCAACCGAAAATTGTTGGTTCTCCATCTCGATGAAAAAGTCAGCTCACGTCGACCTAAGCCACCTGAAGTTTACCTCAACAAATTTGGAGTTCCTTACCCAGAAGCGCTTTACAAAACCGTCTCAGTGAGTGTTGTGACCTACCTCGAAATCTTTCGTATGTTTAGTCTCTTTTGCCTGACGCTTATACTTTCCTCGCTCTTTGCTTCAGAACTCGAAGAATTCTAAATCAACCTTACTACGAAAAACCTTTGGAAATAGGGAAGCTGAATATGGAGCTAGGCCTTCTTCCAGAGGCGGAAAATCCCCGGAAGTCGGCTCTGAGCTTGGTCAAACTCTTATACGTTTGTTTGCTTTGTTCCTTGTCTTCGATATCTTGATTGAATATTGATTTTCTGAATCTCCTACCAGGCAGCTCATCCCTCAATACTATTATCAAAGGCTTCAAGGGCTTGAAGAAGAAGCATAATACGACTCAAGTAGCAGACGATGCAGGTAAGTTTGCAAAAATCACAGTTTTCTATTAAATTCAAGCTTTCTTTAAATGACATGTGTTCCTTTTCAGACGATTCTTTGACCCGTAGTGCCGAGGCCTTCGAGAAAGAGACCGCTGAGAAGTGGGATTCTCCACGCAAGATGAAGCGACGTGGGGTTATCCTTGATATGCAAAAGACCAGCGACTTTCCCGAAGACAGGACTGGAGAAGACACTGGCCCAGCTCTTGCCTATGACGACGACTTTGAATCCATTTCTGAGCAAAGCATTCCCACTCAATACTCTGAAGACTCTCAATGTTCTGACACTGTTCTGGCATGTTACGACTTGGACGGCGGATGATGTAGTTTTTGTCACGCTTGTGTTCTTCTCATCCCAAACCCTTCACGACTCTCAGTCTAAATTCAATTGTACTACCTATCACGTTTATCTTTTCCACTTGTGACCACTTGTTCGTACTATTAATGTGATACCAAACACCCTCAACTCTTTAAAGGAATACTGTATAAAAATTCTTTTGATTCACGGTTTTCAACCTTAACAATCATCGCTGCGAAGCCCAATCCCATGAGGCAGTGACTCCCTTTGAGATTTACATGCCCTTCCTGTAGTTGTCAGGAGGGCACTTCAGCAGACTGGCACTTTGACTAGCTTCATCTACCCTACCTTCTGTGAGTCAAATTCTGAACATATTATACGCTACAAATCTTCTTCATGGCAGCCCTGACAGGCCTTTGAGCTTGGGCTGGATAGTCCCGAGAGATATACCCTCTGGCCGACGCTTCCTCAACAAAATCTGCCCATTTATGTACAATACTTCATAGAGTGTTACAAAATGATGACTCGTCATCAATTTTGCATACTGCTAGACAAATTTCACTTGACTGTAAACTTGGGCTTCATAATGGCTTGCAGACTTTCTAGATATACTAGAGATGTGGTCAACCTGTGAGAATCAGGTTGTCAGCCATGTCAAAGCTGCACACACTGATGGAATAGAGAAACGAGACATTCTGATGGTAAAGAGCATTGTCACGAAACAAATCTTTGAGTTCGATCAAGAAAAAGGGAAAGAGGTGAACAACGCAATGAACCCTTTAAATGCCAAACTTAAACAGTAAGATCATAATCATTCGAATCGTAACACAAGTGTATGATATCATACAGAAAAAGTCAAGAAATAATTTATAAGCCATTAATAAATCATAATTGTTCCCATGAAAAGACAAGCACTATCGCTACAACCAACTTCCCTCAGATTATCAATACTTTCCCATTTGAATTAGAAAGCTTTTCATCCATTGAATAAGTCTTAGTGAGTATGTCAGCCTCAAAGTAGTCACTGCTCACAGTCATACTCTCCAACGGGCAACTTGAATGCTTTGAGATCTGAGCAACCTCAAGTCCTGTTCATCATGTGCATTCTCTCATTATACCACTCTTATCTCGAAATAGTCTTATCATCATCTCCAACAATCTTGTTGATATTCCTACATGACAAAAGTATAAGCAACAGTCACTGAACATATGGACATTCAATTTCATTCCTTATACATCTCCTACTAGGTGTGATTCCACGTACTTTCAAGGGGAGAAAATAGATGGGAAGTAACTTGAGGTTTACATTACGAGGGAGATGCGAGCTCCTTATATGGGCGAGCATTTCTCTACAAAGTACGAAAAAGGAAATAAGAGGTAATACAATAAGAACAGCATGATCGCTGTGTTACAAGATATTTGAGGAGCGGGAAGCCTGATCCGGTACTACAGGATCCGGCTATAATTAGTGGAGGGCTACAACATGTAAGCAGTCGGGACGGATCCGGCGGAGTCCGTCTCGATAAAGTAAAAAAGAGGAAATAGACATTTGAAAAGCACTGAAAGTAAAATATAAGGAAAAGAGAAAAGCGCGTAAGCGCGTATGGGGAGAACAAAGGGGAATGCCTTGAATAGGGAATCACACCATCCCCTTCTTAAGCTTGGAAACTCCCTAGTTTCCTTGTCTGTATTTCCCTTTGTTGCGACGAGTAATTTCTCTGAAGCCACAATCATTCAGTACGACAAGTCTCTCCAGGAATTCCGTAATGAATTCAGTCGATGCTCTGTTAATGACCGTCTCGAAGTATTCGCGAGCCATTATCAGATGTCCTACGGACTCTGTTTCCAGCAGCTTTGTCTTGCTGGTGGAGTCTTGCTGAGGCGAAGAAGAATTCATCGGAGGAACCTTTGAATTTTTTTAACCGGCAACCATTGACTTTAGCCTTCAATACGTGGCCATTGGAAGTCATTAGTGTGTACGTACCGTGAGGGTCAGATTCTTTAATAATAAACGGTCCATCCCATTTTGGGTGGAGTTTTGAGGGACGGCCCTCGAACTGTCGGAGGACGCGGTCTTCTGGACGAAGGTTTCTTTCTGTATACTTTTCTTCTGTCTCCGAGTACCTCGCTTGCGCCCTTTCGTTGAGCTCTTCAATGAGTTGTTGCCTTGTTCTTTGCAGATTGACAACTGCAAGGTTTCGTTGCTTGTGAATTAGTTCTAAGTTCTGGTATGAGTTATCAAATTTGATACTTACTTCTTCTGAGGGCAACCTAGCTTCTTCGCCGTAAGCCATGTGGAAAGGTGAGGCTTTCATAGAGTGAGAATATGAGGCACGATAAGCGAAGAGACATGTATTTAAGTAATTGTCCCATAAGTTCTGATTGTAGGGACTACAGAACTTACGAAGGGCGTTAACTAAGGTCCCATGGAAGCGCTCGTCCAACCCATTTGTTTGGGGGTGGTATGGCGATGTGTTTTTTTGTTTAATATTGTTTTTCTTCAAGTAATTTCGGAAGTTATGTGAAATAAACTCGGACCCGTTGTCCGTAATGATCTCTTCGGGAAGGCCATGGTTCAGCGTCATCTCCTTAACCAAAGAGATCGCTGCATCTGACGAGGTAGCCTGCAAGGGTTTGGCGTAAGCCCAACCTGTGCCATAATCTATAGCAGTGATGAGAAATTGGTTCCCATTAGCTGTCTTTGGTAAGGGGCCGACGAAATCCATCCCCCACTTTCTAAAAGGTCTTCCTCTAGGCATGAGTTGAACGGGCATACCTTGTTGTTTCGAGGGGGCAGCGTGGACTTGACACGCCTCGCACAAACTGATAACATCTTTTACAGTTTTCGCGACGTTCGGGAACCAGTAGCGTTTATTGACTGCGTCGATGACGTCTTTTTTGTTGCGATGTCCGAGGTCCAGATGTACCCTATAGCAGATGCCTTCGGCTTCAAACTTACTAGTTGGTACAGTTCGTTGGTCTTCTGCCATGTTATCTAGGTTGATTTTAGTTAACCTGTTGCCGTCGATTATGAAGTCGCCGGATCCCACTGTTGACGGGTCAACTCCAGCCATCAGTTTAAGTTTAAATTCTGTGAGTTTTTGATAAACTTCTTCCTGGTCGTTGATGTTAAAGAGGGCCGCGGCGGTCTCCGGTGGGTCTTGGTCGAACTCCGTGTTTGGTTTCCGTGACAAGGAGTCTGCGGCTAGTTGCTCCTTTCCAGGTCGGTAAATGATGTGACAGTCGAAGAACTCGATCTCGTCTACAAATCGGGCGAGTCAACGGTTAATATGTTTCTGGGTTTTAAAATACTTTAATGACTCATGGTCAGTCCTCACAAGGACGGGCGAACCTTCAACAAATCCCCGGAAGTGTTTGAGTCCGTGGATGATCGCTAGTAGTTCCCGTTCTTGTGCGGAATAGTTCTGTTCGGTCTTAGACAATTTCCGCGATTCAAACGCGATGGGTCTAAGATTCTTCTCTTTAAGGTTTCTTTGGTATGAATTGTAATCGAAGCTCACGTTCTTTGGTATATCTATGTTGGTATCTTGTTGTAAAACTGCACCTATGTTCGTCCCTGACGCGTCGGTGTCGAGAACAAACGGTTTAAAAGGTGCTGGATGTTGTAGGGGAACTGTTTCACAGAGACACTTTTTAAGTTTTTCGAACGCCAGTTGTTCCTCGTCCCCCCACTCAATTGACGTGCCGGGTTTAGGCGATCCTTCAGTCAACTTGTAGAGAGGAGAGGCGATAGAGGAAAACTTCAAAATGAAGCGTTTATAATAAGTACACAGATTTAAGAAGCCGCGAACATGAGAGATGTTGGATGGTTTAGGCCACTCAACTATTTTATTGATTTTTTCTGGGTTAGTGCGAATTCCGTTTCCGTCGACGATATGCCCCAAGAAGAGCAATGATGACTTTCCAAATTGACACTTCTTGGCTGAGACGACTAGACCTTCCTTTTGTAAGATTTTGAAGACTGCTTCAATATGTTTTTCATGTTCTTGCTCGGTTTTCGAATAGATTATCACATCATCTAGATAAACCAAAGCAAACTTGTCAATTACCTCTTTCAGGATGGAGTTCATCATCTCCTGAAAGGTGGCTGGTGCGTTGCAGAGGCCAAAAGGCATCACTCTCCACTGGAAGTGACCCAACCTACAAGTAAAGGCGGTCTTCTCCTTATCCTCGCTGTTCATCGGAACCTGCCAAAAGCCGCTCTTGAGGTCTATGGTTGAGAAGTACTTAGCACCCGATAAGAACAAATACGCATCATCGATGCGGGGTAGGGGGTAAGCATTCTTTTTTGTAACCTTGTTTAGACCTCTATAGTCCACACATACCCTGTTGGATCCATCAGCCTTTTTGACCAATAGAAGGGGTGAGCTCCATGGGGAGTCCGAGGGCTCAATAATTCCTTGAGCGATACTTTCCTCGACGAATTGCTTGATAGTCGCATGTTCTGGAGGTGTATGCGGTCTACCATGGCTCTTGATTGGCCTTGCGTCTCCAGTGTCGATATGATGTTTGTAAATTCGGTCGATCATTATTACTTCGTCTTTCCAGCACTCGGGAGCGATGACCTTAGCTCTATTTTCTAGTCTGTCGCCGAAATTTTTGTCTTCAATGGTGAAGAGTTTCGGTTCGTAATCTCTTGGTCTAACAACAAACCCATTTTTGACGATGTAGTTTCCGGTGGTAAAATTGATTAGGGGTTTTGTTTCTCTTAACCACGGTAACCCAAGAATTAACGATATGTTGGGCAGAGGTAGGATAAAGGCCTTCACGTTGAATCTGAAGGTATCCATTTTCTTCTCGTCTTCAAACTCAGCCTCAAAGATCGCGACCTCGTTGCAAGATTATCGAGCTCCATTTGCTAATCTAACATTTTGTTTATCAACGTTTTTGATTTCGATTCTACCAGGGGATAGTGATTTCATCTTCTCAACACGTTCGGTAGATATGTAATTGGCGGCCGCTCCGCTATTGATTATGGCATCCAGAGGGATATTGTGGAAGAG